CACTTCCATATACCGAGCCAAGTACAACGAGACCCACTGAAATCCTTACTCACTCGTACTCTCTCTCTCTCTCGGTCTCGGCCTATCTTACACTTTCTCTTCCTTTTGTTTAAAAAGGACGAAACACAGACACGCAACCGAATATCTATGCCGAAGAAATGTAGGTGAACCAATAATAACAACAACAACAACAACAACAACAACGATATAACCATATCATACAAGAATCTAGAGTTTTGAAAAAGGGGTGGTGGGTGTTATGGTTTTTTTGTTGTTTTTTTTGGGGGGCGCTTTTAAGGGAGTCAATGAGATAGTAACAACTCCCATCTTTATATTATTTCATTGAACTCTGGAAATAAGTGAAAAAAATACTCCAACTCAAAAATGGAAAAATAAATAAAAATCAAGGAGTAAATTTCTAAATTTCTTTAAACGAATGAATTCCGAGCGGGTCACAAAAAAAAACTTTTTATTTAAAAAAAATAATAATAAAATTCTGTTTGGAGTTAATTAAAATATTTTTATGAATCCTTTGTTGGGAGTATTAAATACTAATTTGTTCAAATTTACTTTTCTAATAACAGCCGCTAATATTTTTTTTTGTAAATTTTGTCTGGGGATTCTTTCCAATTTCCTTTGTTGTTCTGTAAAAAGTTACTACTTCGTTTTTATTTAGGTCATCTGTATTGAACAATAGATAAATTTTCTGATGCCAAGCAAATTAAACCGGAAAAAGCTTTATACTCAAATGCAAAGCTGGGTAGGGTAAATATTTTGTACAAAATATAGAATATTTAAATGGAGTAATCCTGATAGTGTTTTACCCTTTTTATACACTCCACCATAGTATGGAGGGAATATTAAGTTTGTTATTCCTTTTGTAACACCTCGGAATATACATTTTAGACCCCACAAAGTATATATATATATTCTTGATCAGCATAAAATTCTATGTCGATTTAGCGATGTCCGTCCGTCTGTGGAAATCACTCTAGCTTCCGAACGAATTGAAGTAGTTAGATAAAATTTTACTCAAATGTATATTATGTCTGCAGGACTTTTGGTATTGAAATGGGCCATGTAGGTTCACGTTTGTATTGCCCCCATGTAATGGTACCTCCTTATATTCGGTATTTTGGTTATTTAAGCGACATTATTCACCGAAAATGTTTAAAATTTGGTATTTGAAGTTCGCAATGGATACTACAGCCTATGACAAAAAATTGTCTGTGCAGGTCCATGTCGTCGTATAGACTCTAATTCGGTATTTTTGAGATTTTAACAGAATTTTTTAACGGTTTTTATTGTTTTTGAGAATTGCCAAATTCGATCCAAATGGTGGAGGGTATTCAAAGTTCGGGCCGGCCGAACGTACAGCTTTTTTTACTTGTTTTAATATAATCCTTCTCGAAGTGATATCATGCACTCTATAACAATGTTACTTGGTATAAAAAATTAAAATGTCTCCGTCAAATTTAGTAAAAATGGATTCAGAATTGGATATGTCTCCCATATACCCTCCCATATACCGTTCCCTCTGGAAGCAAATTTAGCTGCTCTAAAGCCAAACGTTTCAAATAAATTCTTTTGTTATGAGAGCTCTACTAAATATGCATAGTGCTGTAGGGTATCATATTGTCGGCCCCGTCCGACTTTTGACTATTCCTTACTGTTTTTTTTTTTGGGAATGTAAAAGGATTACACCAAAAAATTGAGTCTTAGGAAAATTAATAAATAAAACAATATTTAGTAAAGTTTACAAACAAAAACAACAACAAGTTTAGTGTTCAAAAGTTAACTCGACATTTTCCCCGAAACATCCAACAAATTCCTAGCCATTCTTTCTTAACTGCTCTCTCATGTCTCTCCCTCTCTATTTCCATCAATGTAGTTTTTCGTAAAAAGAAGACAATCAGAAGGTAACTCCGCTCCAGAACTTGCACGAATATACATTTTTTGAATTTTTTGCAACATTTGGAACACCGTTTCTATAAAAAAATATGTACAAATATTCGAAAAATCTCATTATTTATATTTATGCGTTTTAGAAAATTTTACGTAGCTATGAAAAACTGTTTTAAAAATTCCAAGTAGGTAGTACATAAAATTGAGTAAATAAGTTCTGCATTTTTGATGCATTTTCTTACATTTTATATTGTATAAAACTATTATACGGTGTAAGTTTCATGGTAGTTTGATTTAAAATTCAATATCTGCCATCATTGGTTAATTTTGGATAATTAACGTTAGTATAACAGTTTAGAAATAACTGTTATATAGCAAAATATTTGTAGTAACTTTTTATAAATATGCAATTCATACGCATTTCAAACTGTTTTAAGTAGTATAACAGTTACACCAAACTGTTATACTCATGATTTTTTTTGTGTGAAACATTACTATTATCCATTTCCACACATTGATCTGCATTAACGATGCATGGTTTGTGCATTTTGGAAAATATTAGAAGGAAATTGACCATTGAACACGCAAGACCAATGTTAAGTTTGACCAAACAATTTTTTTCGCCCGAACATGAGAAAATCTGCAATTAAAAAATAATTCAAGTTAAAACGTATCTGTCGATTTTGCCACCAGATTTATACCCTCAGCCAATGTTCGATTACATATTTAAATATATTTTGACTTCTGCTATCATTATTCAAATTTGTGACCCTGTATGGAGTAGGTTCCATTTCGTATCGGAACTAAATAAATATGATATAAATATTGTGACGTGCCAGCTTTGGACTATATGATAATTTTGAGAAAATGTTAAAAAGTGCGCAAGGTGCCAGTTATATTCGACCGAAGTATTTGATTTTTATATACAGATAAAAATATTGGTATGGGCAACATGACAAGAAAATCGAACATTTATATTCAATTTTGTGGGAAATCATGAATTCCATATTCATTTCGGATTTCTGGTTAGGGGAAAAATTTAGATATATCAAGTTGTAAAGAATCACAGACTTGTTTCGCAAGTTGGATGCTCATTTCGCCTCCTTTGAGCGTTTTGTTTAAAAAAAAAATTAAACCTTTTGTGGGGGAGGTACCAGAAGAAATGGTCCGATCTTTATTATTTTTATAATAGATCTTGTGTTGATGCAAATATTGAGATCTGTCAAATCTAAATGGAATCGGATGTTAATTTCGTGTTTTATGAGCTTCATGAATATCAAAAAAGTTGACCCTTTGTGGGGGAGGCACCAGAAGGAGTGGACCGATATATCCCATCTTTACTCCAGATATTGAACTCTTACATCACATTTTATAAGAGTTAGAATTATTCACAAGTTTGACCCTTTATGGTGGAGGTACTTGATGGAGTGGACCGATAGTGTCCATTTTCCTAGCACTGATGCAAATATTAGGATTTGCAAAGTTGGATAAAAATCGGATTATCCTTTCTCTGTCTGTGTAAAAAATATTTTCTTTAAAAATTTCGACATTTTGTGGGGGAGGTACCAGAAGAAGTGGACCGATATTGTCCATCTCCGAACTCGATCTAAGTTTGACAATAATATTACGATGTACCAAGTTTGGATCAAATCGGATACTCCAATCGAGAGTTATCGTGCACACCATCTAGCCAGACAGATGGACGGACGGACGGACATTGCTAGATCGACTCCAAATATCCTGAAACGGATTTGATTCAAAGAGACCTAGAGTCTAAAACCGTTATTTCGATGAGGTACGTTTTGGCCTTTTCAAATGATATACCTATACCCTCTCTAGTCATATGGCTAAGGGTATAAAAATGTGGAACACATGAAGTACTTCATTTGATTTTGATTATTTTAAAGGTTATGGAATCAATCTCCGAACTGAGATTAAATTTGATATAAATATTGTCACGTGGAAGTTTGAACCATTTTTTTCAAATCGTTGATGGGTGTAGCGTCATAGTGGACCGATATATTACGTCTGTGAACTGGATCCATATTTCATTGAAACACATTTGGTCTGTTCTAGAACCTGCAGGAATTTTAAAATGTGCCTACGATAACCGATGTTTTATTTTGTGATATCGAAAAAACTGGTCGATTTTTACAGATTCTGGAACAGAGTAATTATGTTATGGATAATTTGATCAAATTGGGGAAATCCCTTATTTCGTCGGGAATGTTCCAGAAAGACCATGCTTGGGACTTACTCTAAATGTCCTGTAATGGGTTTCCTCTAAAAATTGTCGACCGTAACTAATGATATTTAAAATCTGTAACTAAAAGGCTGAGGACTTGAAATTTCTAACAAAGAAAAAAAAAAACAATATTATACATACACATGCACCCAATTCCAATCCAACCATGTGAAGGGGGAAAGAGGCGATAATACCAAAAAAAAAAAAAATGTGAATATAATTCCATTTTCACATTGACATCCTAAAACAATTTTAGTTAATTTCTTCTAAAAGGATATAAGGAAAGAAACTACATGAAATTCTGTGGCAGAGAGTAAGTGGTGTGTATGCGTGTGTGCGAGTGTGTGTAAACAATGAAAGTACATGTTCTTGAGAAAACAAAACAAAACTAGGGCAGTGTGTTTTCGTTGTATTCAGCTGGCTCTGTTGTGCTGCTGCTTCTTCTTCGTCGTCGTTGTTGTTGTTCTCCAGAAAAAATGTTGGTTAAGTTACCAGCTCTCATCGACATGAACTTTCTCTTGCTCACTCTCTCTCTGAATTGAACAGTTTATCTCTGCCCCAAAGGGAGAGAGAGAGAACAAGTATACGGCATAATATTGGTGGAGCTTAAATAACAGTCATTGATTGTTTTGTCGTTCAACGTGACGGATGGGTAATGGCTTATAAATTGTGATAAACTGAAGTGAAAAAATACAAAAAGGGAATTAAAATATAAAAGATAATAACTAAAATAATAGAAAAATGAATTTTTTAAAGAAAAATAAATAAATAAAAAATTATTCAGAAGATTCAGCAAAAAGAAAATTCCCCCACAACAAATCTGTTTATGTGTGTGTATACACTTGCTTAGAGTTTCGTTAAGTAAAAGCTTTTTTGTGTTGTGTCCTGTTTGTGTGTGTGCGAGTGTGTCTGTCCTTCTGCTGGAAACAAGCAAGGAAGTGCCGATAACAACAAAACATAAACAAAGCTAAACATTCCACCGCTTCGTTAATTGTCAACGTGTGTTGGCGAGAACCGCGTGCTCTCCGTGTTGGTGTAACGGAAATTCACGGTTGTTTTTTTCCTGGAGGATGTTTAACTAATAGTGTTTCTTTCTTTTTGTGTGTGTTTCAGAAATCATAACAACGTTAATGTAAAGGAAGAAAAATAAAAAAACAAAACAACAACCACATACCGATTGTGTTAAATTAAATTATAAACCCTTAATAAAGTGCCATTGTTTTGAAATAATTAAAAAAAATAATAAAAAAATACTCGAAATATTACAACGTTTTTTTGTAATCACATCATTGCAAAACGTAAAACAAAAAAATCCTTGTGGCTTAAATTAATTTTATTGAAATTTAATTTTGATACCAAAGAAAACATAAAAAAAAAACATAACACCACCACTCATCGCAATCGTCAACAACGCCAGCAACAACAACGATTGTTAAAAAAAAATTCTGCAAAAATCTCATTTGTTTTGCAAAGAATGGCATCAAAACTGTAAACAAAAATATTCCAAACTTAAAGAAATAAATTGAAAATAGCGGAGAATAGCATTGCAGGCCATTCATTATTAAAACAAAAAACCAACAGCAACAACAACGCTAACCACAAACAAACAAAAAAACTAAATGTTCAAGTCCTTAGTGTGAATGTTGGCAACAGTGGAGTGGGACGTTGGTTTAGCCTGTAATAGGTAAGTCTAACATAAAATAAATTTCGAATTACAACTTTGTTATGAGAACAATAAGTAAATCTGAATAAAACACAAATTCGATAGACATTACGATATTAATGTGCGTATGGCGAATGTTATATTTCCTCAACCATATTACTCATACGGCAAGAGTACAATTTTTAATTTATAAAGTATTAGTCTAATCTTTATTTATAAAATCCTTACGTGTCGGAGTTGATAGCTTAAGGTATATCATGTTTTTTTATCTGAATAGCTAATTGAAGTGGAAAATATTTGTCGTTTAAGTAATTGTTAGAAGCAGGGCTTCGGAGTTGAACAATTTTGCTGGAGTCACAATAATGATCTCTTTAGTTCCTAGTTCAGAAAACAATGTTGATATTTTAAATGATTTATAGAGTATAAAATTCATTTATTTTATTCAGAAATTTGTTAATGCAATAAAGGTTTGATTGCAAATGCTTACAAAGAAAAAAAGATGAAACCCACGATAATAATTTGTTGGTCACCGAACTTATTAATAATGTCTGCATAAAACATATGATTTATATCCGAATGTATGTTTACAGGACAACACTTTGTCAGAGCCGTAGCGTTGGAGGCTCTGACAAAATGTTGTCCAATGTTGATAACTTTTCTCAAAGTCCTTTTCTTCTCATGCCTAATATAATGTTGTTATTGGATTAAATCGAAAAGTTAAAGTTGTTGCCTTGAGGTGAAATGTACCTACGCGTCACTTTTTTTAGTATTTTTTTTTTTTTGAACTTCTTCAAACAGAATTAGTGATCTCTGTTGTCCATAATTTAAATGAAATAAATCATATAATGTAAAATGTAGTTTTTTTGTCTCAAAAGGTGTGCTAATCAGATTTTCAATAGACAATATTAAGTGGACCTAGTGTCCAAAACCGTTTTTTCAACTAGGCCATATTTATAACCATAAGTATGAGGGTTTAAAATCTTATATGAATAAAAAAAGATGTGAAATGAAAATATGAAGAAAATATTTTGGATTTTAAATGCTGACAGAAAATGAGTTCTGTCCGAGAAGCACTTCAATTTTTTTATACCCTACAACACATAGTTGTAAGGGTATTATGTCTTTGTGCATTTGTTTGTAACATGGAGAAGGAAGCGAGATATATCCACAGTTACTTTTGAGAATCTCCATAGAATCACTTTCTTAGTTGATTTATGCATGTCAGTCCGTCCGTCCGTCCGTCCGTCTGTCCATGTATTCTTGCGAACAAAATGCAGGTCGCATTTATTATCCGATTGAGATGAATTTTTCCAAACAACATTTGTTTGACCCAAGGACGAACCCTATTGAAATTGGAGATAATCGGTAAAAATTTAGATTTAGCTCCCATATATACCTTCGTCCGATTTGCCTTTTATTGTGCACCAAACGTGTAATGTCAGCCCGAATAGTATGAAATTTTGCACATACAACCAAATTAGGCCTGAAAATAAGTATGACAAATTTGATCGAAATCGGTTCAAATATAGCTATAGCTCCCATATATATTGTTCATCCGATTTGTTATTTTTGTCCTCCGCAGCCGTAATATGCACTCTTTAACAACAATATTTGGGGAAATATATCAAATACAATTCAGAAATATCTTTGCCAAATTTTATCGAGATCGGTTCAGATTTGGATATAGCTCCCATATATAACTTCGTCCGATTTACCTTTTATTGCGCACCAAGCGTCTAATATTTGCCCAAATGGGATGAAATTTGGCACTTACGACCGAATCGAGTCTAGAAGCTAGTATGTCAAATTTGGTGAAGATCGGTTCAGATATAGCTATAGCTCCCATATATACTGTTCATCCGATTTGTTATATTTGTTACCTACATCCGTAATATGCACTCCGTAACAACGATATTCAGGGAAATATATCAAATGCAGCTCAGAAATATCTTTGCCAAATTTTATCGAGATCGTTTCCGATTTGGATATAGCTCCCAAAATTATTCAAATTTATTGTGCACCAAATGGGCAATACAAGTCCGAATTTAAAAGATGCAAATGCTTCGGCATATTTAGTCCTTTGAACTTTAAATTATAATTATAATCACATCGTGTATGATTGAATTCTCCCATAAAAACTTTTAATTGTTATGTGGAGCTCTACTTAATTAGTAAAGTGGTGTAGGGTATCATAAAGTCGGCCAGCCCGACTTTAGGACTTTCTTTACTGGTTTATTATCCTAACTTTTTGCAATTATTTTCCACAGTAAGCATGTATTTTACAAGTTGTGGAGTCTTTTTTATTTGTAATGCATGGAATGATATTTCTGGAAGCTAACATAAATAAGACATTCAATTTTTCAGAACATAATTCCCTACAGAAAACGTTCACAATAAAATTAAACAAGCAAATATAACAGTTTAGTTTTTGGTACTTTATGCCGTATGAGTGATATTTCATTTAATACAAATAATTATACGCCCTAGCGTTCGGAATTAAGCAGGAATGTGATCGCATAATCAATGGAAGTTTTTGATGTGAATTTTTATTAATATATGCACATAAATACACATTCGTAAGATTTTCATAGAGCTTTTATGACATTTTAGATTACTTTTAAATTGCAATAAGTAACTGAAAAAAAGATGTATAACCATACTGAGTTATATTTGAATTTATTTTTAAATATGTACATATACCGCACGGTGATTCTAAATAATTTCTATGCAATTGATATTTACCAAGGGATTTCCATTTTGGATTTCTTTGCTCTAATTTGAACTAAAATAAATTAAATTTCTAAATTTCTGGAATTAAAATAAATATATTTGTCACCCATACCAAATCAATGCAAAATATTATGATATTTTGTTTTAATCCAGTTTTAATATATGCAAATATTTAATGCATCCTCAACCACGATACTTGTAGTTATTTGTCCAGGATTGTTTTTACACTTTATTGTCCCATCTCAATTTTGCGAACAGTGAAAACACCCTTTTTATTAAAAAATATTTATGTATGAAGGAGTAAGATTTTAAACAAATTTTTGTAGGGTAGTAAGAGTCATTTGTCAGCAATTAAAAAAATAACCTCCCCCTCCCCTCGATAAATCCATATTTATGAATACTAAATCCAAATTTTTTTGGATATTTAAAAAAAAAATACAAAAATTACAACTGGAAAAAGTAATGATGAAGAATTATTGTGTAAGCTTGACTGTTCGAAATTTTGAACACTGGTTTCTGGAAAAGCGACAAATCGGAAAATTTTTCTAAGTCAATTTTTACCATAAAAAAGTAATATATTTTCAAAAATAAAAATTAAATCTCGGAACGAAATGGGTTTTAATACAAGATTCTTTAATTTTTTTTTTTCAAAAAGAATACATTGCGACATGTGGAAATATTATTGGTTCACGTACATGGTTCACATTGCAGCTTTTTGCCGTCCTCACATTTATTATGAGGATTTGCTCCAGGTATATTCGATGAAAATGGGAGTTTACATCTAGGAGGCTTACTAAATCGGTAGTTTGCAATAAAATGAACTTTTCAACAATTAACCGATCACCTTTTGGTATTTGGAGTTTAATATGTCGCATGAAAACAAAATGTTTTTCAGAAATGATTGTAAATGGACAAGTTATTTTATGGTTCCAAAATAGGACGACTTTTCCAACGACACACTTTTGTGTTTTTGAAATGCAAAAGATCTCCATGTTTTCTGAAACAATTACTTATATTTTCCCTCTATTTACCGAATAGCTTTCCCCATTATCTGAGCTGTAAGCTTCTAATTTTATATATTTTTATGCCCTCAGCCATATGGCTATAGAGGGTACTGATTTTTATACGGTCAAAACGTGCCTAGTCGAAATAACGGTTTTAGACCCTAGGTCTCTTTGGACCAAATCAGTTTCAGAACATTTGGAGTCGATCTAGCGACGTCCGTCCGTCTGTCTGTCTGTCTGGCTGGTGTGCACGATACCTTGAAGGGAGTATCCGATTTGGTCCAAAATTGCTACATCGTAATATTTTTGTCAAACTTTCATCGAGTTCGGAGATGGGCAATATCGATTCACTCCTTCTGGTACCTCCCCCACAAAAGATCGAACTTTTCAAAAACAAAAAAATATTTTTTGCACAGATAGAGAACCGATAATCCGATTTTGCTCCAACTTTGCAAAGCCTAATATTTACGTCACTGCTAGGTCAGGTGTAGAAATGGATAATATCGGTCCACTCCATCAAGTAACTCTCCCACAAATGTTCAAAATTTTGAATAATTACCACTCTCATAAAATGTGATGTTAGAGTCCGATTGTCTTCAAATTTCACACATCCTAATATTTGTATTAATCCAAGGTCTGGTGTTTAGAAGGAATAATTCGGTTCACTCCTTCTGCTACCTCCCCCACAAAGGGTAAAATTTTTGAATAATTATAAGATTTATAAAATGTGATGTAAGAATCCGATTGTCTTAAAATTTCACACATCCCAATATTTTTATAAACCCAAGATCTGGTGTTAAGATGGAATAAGTGGATCTAGGGACCACTCCTTCTGGTACCTCCCCCACAAAGGGTAAAATTTTTGAATAATTATAAGTCTTATAAAATGTGATGTAAGAATCCGATTGTCTTAAAATTTCACACATCCCAATATTTTTATAAATCCAAGATCTGGTGCTAATATGGAATATATCGGTCCACTCCTTCTGGTGCCTCTCCCACAAAAGGTCGAAATTTTGAATATCCATTCGGCTTATAAAATGTCAAATTAACATCGGATTCCATTTAGAATTGGCACATCTTAATATTTCTATTAACACAGTATCTGTTAGAAAAAAACGGTAGAGATCGGACCATTCCTTCTGGTACTACCCCACAAAGGGTCAAAGTTTTGAATAACCAAAACGTTTATAAAATCCAAAATATGCATTAGGTTCTCCTTTTATTTCACACATCCAATTATTTTCACTAACAAAAGATCCGTTGTGAAGATGGGATATATCGGTC